CGCAGCGGGGCACAGGCTGGGCGGCTCGACTCGGTTCAGCTGGGTTCGGTTCGGTTCGGCTCCTGGGCAGCTTCCCTCCCGGCCGTGCTGAGGTGCGAGGCGGGGGGGTCTTGGGGAGAGTCGCTCCTTGTTCCGGGTTGGGGGATGGCTCAGCAGCTGTGTCCCCCGCCTCCTTCAGCTCCTGCCGGCCTTCCATGTGCTCCCCAGTGGGAACCCCCCTTTGCGATGCTGCTTTGGATTCTCCCTCCTTTCCTCCTTTGCCTCCTCTTCTTTGGTCCGTTGTAGTGTGAGATGTCCCTGCTTATTGTAGGGGGGTTGGACTAGATGACCTTTAGAGGTCCCTTCCAACCCAAGACATTGGATGATTCTTTTAAAACCTCTGTCCTCCTCTCACAAGCACCCTCCCTCCCCCAGTGACTCACCTTTCTCACCTCTTTAGCAAAATCAGACTACCAAGTTCCCAAAAAATGTTTTCCTGCTTCTGAAACTTGACACTCCCCCCTCCCTGCCCACTTCATTTCTGCTTAGCCCGTCCTTTCTGCTGTCAGTTTTTTAATCCTGACCTCTTGTAGCTGCTGCATCACATCAGGAGTTGCATCAACCCCATGGAAGTCACCCACCTTCACCTGCTGATCCCACTTCCAGGCACTGCTGGGAAACTGCATCATCTTCTGATACCTCACAGGAGTTTTTTTCTGCCTGAAACTTGACATGCCCCAATTTACTGTTTCACCTTTATCCTCATTGATCTCAGGTTGCACCTTGGATTTTACAAAATGTTATTTCCTTCTGCAGTCTCTCAATAAAATATTCTCTGGCTCTTGTTCACCTCTTTTACTCTGTTCCTGGTGGGTGCTACCCTGAAGCAACATTTACCTTCACAGAGGACAGGTGTGCTGGCAATTTAAAAATCCACCTACTTGCACTTCAATCTCAAATTCCTTACTTTTAAAATTATTTCATTAATTTATATTTCATTATTTATCCATTTTTAATTCTGCCATCCTTAGCAACTACTTCATTTCTTTCTTTCAGTATAGTCTCCTTGCATCAACTTTTATTTTGCCTCCTTTTTAAGCTTTTTCTGCTTCCTTTATTTCCTGTGGTTTTACACTCATAACCTTGCTTATAGGTTCCTGAACCCATTTCTCCTTATCTCTTTGTGTTTGGACTAGTGCAATTTATAGAACTTGCTGTTTTAGTTTTTACTTGTGAGTTGTATAGTTCATGGTCTCTTTTGATCTCAAGTGGTGCTGTATATTTTGGTACCAAATGTTTATCATAGTGAATAATTTTTTAAAAAGATGACTTTGGGACATAAACTGGACCCTGCTTTACATCAAGAATGTCCAGAGTTCCTGTTTAAAAGTTCATTCTTACTCCAATTTAATACACTTTTATTCATTCAAATAACCTGAACTTACTGATATTTGTTGGCAGTGTTATGGGAAATCATTTTAAATTACAGGCTTTTATTAATGGCTTTTAAGTTTTCTCTCTTTGTTTCTACTGCTCCCTCATTTTTGGGCTGTTTGGAGAGGACACTGTGGAACCCTAATCTTGAGTTTTCTCTCCCATTTGCAGTTTGTCCCTGTTTGATTGTACAGCCCCAGCTTTGTGATCCTATTTGGATTAGGAAATACGATATTCCTAACCATTTTATTGTTCATTCTCTTCTCTCTTAACCTCCAGCTCTCTTTCCTCTCAAAACCAGCACAGGCAAAAATTATTTTCATTCTTCAGAGCCAGGTTTGAGGTGGTTTTGATTATTTGATTCTTTGATTATGGTGGATTCCATTCTGCTAGGACCACTGCTGGCCATTTCTTCTGCTGTAATCTCCCTTCATGCAGATTTTTTTTGCAAAATTGTCTTAGAAACCTGTGTTTGAATCCATTAAATTGTGGATAGGTCATGAAAGGATCTAGAATCTATGAGTCCAGGCAAGTTTCTCTCCCCTGAAGCTGCTTGCCTGGCTTCCTATTTGGCAGGGCACGTGTGCCACTAACTTCATGGAGGAGCAAGGAGGGCAAGACTTGCCCTGTTGCTGTGTGGAAGGAGCAGCTCTGGCAGCCCAGTCCTGTGCCAGATCCTAAGTAAAGCAGTTGTGACTTCATGCACTGTTTGAAGTGAGACACTGGGATGTGCTCCTGGCAATTGGAGAAGAGCATGTCCTGTCTGGCTGTGCTGTGGTTTGCTGGAGCACGTGCAAGACAGGAAGGGGGGAAGCCTGGGATTCCAAGGATTTTTCTTTTCTGAGCACTGTTTCTTTAATTCATGCTGCCAGGGTTCCTGTGATCAAGTTTTTTTCCTGGTGAACTTGAACAATTAAAAAAATAAAGGATGAGAAACTGTGTATCTGGAAGGATCCACCACTGAGGTTTTGTGGGTCAGCCAGGAGTGGAGCTCTGTGTAACTGCAGAAACAAGCAGCTTTCTTTGAGATGTGGATTTTGGACCATCCTCTTACTCTGAACTGGAAGGGCAGAAAGCAAACTCTACCCTTGAGCTGTGTCAGGACTTGTCCAACACATTTCCAGGGTATCCTTGTGTGATTCCTTTCTTCTCAGCTCCCAAAATCTCTTCCAGCTTGAGGAAGGTGAGGGACCAGCCATAAGGTAGAGCGCTCCAATTCCAGGCAACAAGACATCAGAGAAAGATTCCAATGGTTGGCTGCTAGGGAAAAGAAGGAGAAAACAAGCAGAGATTTAGAAAGCATGACTGAAGGGAAGAGAACTCAATCTAAAAGAAAGGAAACAAACTTAAGTCCTCAGGAAGACAAAAGATGTTGGAAAAGACCAAGATGAAGCTGTTCTCCTTGTCCACAACAGAAAGGATTAGAAATAATGGGTTTAAGTTGAAACAATTAAGGTTGAGGTCAGACATTAGAAATATTTGGATGTTTAGCTACACAGGGAGACTTGGCTTCTGTGGGGAGTGACTAGGGAGAGAAAGCTTTAGGTCTCTGGTAGTCTTGGTTGCTCCAGGAATATGCCAATGCCATAGGTTTATTTATGGCTTTTCTGTTTGATAGGTTTGCTTGGAGTGTTTTTTAACCTCATTTGATGTTTTTAATTAGTAAGGCAGCCAAAGAAACAGTGTATCTCTCAGGTCTTTTAGGAGATCATTGTCTTTGTTGAACGTTTTAGGGAGAAGATGAAAATGCAGATGTGAGAGGATGTTCTGGGACCTGATCTCTCTTGCTAGTTTTAAAAGTTGAGCACCCAATCCGTGTGCAGATCTAGCACATATAATGATTTGCCCAAAATCTTGCACAAAATCCCCAGGAGGACTGGTAATTCAGCAAATCTGCTGATGTTCAGTTTGCTTGTCCCAAAATCAGATGGATAAAGTCTGTAATAGTGTTTCCTTCCTATCTTCTTGGGGCAAGGACAGAATTTTCTGGTTGTATTCATGTGTTAGCCTGATGTTATGTATTAAATATCCTTTTTCCAGACTTTGGTTCAGCTTTGTGATGTCTTCCCCCGAAATTGCTTCCCTTTCTTGGGGTCAGATGAAGGTGAAAGGCTGTTCCACGACTTACAAGGACTGCAAAGTGTGGCCAGGAGGAAGCAGAACCTGGGACTGGCGAGAGACTGGGACTAATGTAAGTTTGCTCTTTACTCTCCAACCTGCATTTTAAACAGGACTCTGAAAATGGTCCAGAGAAGAGTTGTTAAATCCCCAGCCAGAAATTCAGTGAGCTGCCTTTTGTGTTCATCTAACTGTTAAATTAAGAGTTTTCCTGGGAAGAGCTGAGTGTGTGTTTCAGAAGTGACTGAGGCTGGAGGACTGCAGAGATACCAAGTCCTAGGGGTAACAGGGTGTGGTGACTCTTCCATCAGTCCTCACAGCTACCCTGACCAGATCACTCTCACATACCTTAGACCTCTCAAACAGCACTCTGAGTTTGATGAAGAGTGTAGTTGTCATAAGTTGCTGGTAACAACCTTTTTTCAGACTGTAAACAAAAGTTGTCTTGAGCCAGAGAGGGGAAAAAAAAGTTATGGGAAGTGAAAAGAAATCAACAGTAACTGACCTTATGTGCTTGGAAGACAACAGTGCATGTGTTTTACTGTATAGCCTTTTTCTTGGGGTCCTTTGTACTTAGTTCACAGGAAAAATATGCAGATGCAGTGTCAGATGCTCTAGTTTCTCTGTGAAAAGTTCACAGTCTGGCTAACCACACAAGGGCTTCTCTTGGTAGCCATGTCCTAAATGCTTGCTCTCCCAGTTTTTAAACTTTCATAGAATCATGCTGTCAGAATTGTGTAAAACTAGATGGAATAGTATTGACATTCCACATTTAGAAGCAGCATAACGTCTCTTGCATTAGGAACCTGCTGGTAATTGTCCCCCCTATGAAGGCTGTAGCTGTAGTGGCTAGAAAAAAAAATAAATCACAGAATCATAGGGGTTGGAAGGGACCTCAAAAGGTCATCCAGTCCAACCCCCCCTGCCAGAGCAGGGTCACCCAGAGCACATCACACAGGAAGGTGTCCAGGCAGGTTTGAATATCTCCAGAGAAGGAGACTCCACAGCCTCCCTGGGCAGCCTGGCCCAGGGCTCTGTCACTCTCACAGGAAAGAAGTTTCTCCTCATGTTGAGGTGGAACTTCCTGTGTTGTCATTTGGTGCCATTTCCCCTTGTCCTGTCACAGGCACCACTGAACTGGCCCCTTCATGACACCCACCCTTCAGATATTTATAGACATCAATAAGGTTCCCTCTTAGTCTTCTCAAGACTAAACAGCCCCAGGTTTCTCAGCCTTTCCTCATCAGACAGATGTTCCAGTCCCTTCATCACCCTTGTAGCCTCCATTGGACTCTTTCTAGCATATCCCTGTTCCTCTTGAACTGGGGAGCCCAGAACTGGACACAATACTCCAGGTGTGGTTTCACTAGGGAAGAGCAGAGGGGGAGGAGAACCTCCCTCCACCTGCTGGACACAGCGTTTTGACATAACCGAAGGGCAGAACCTTTGGTTTTGTACCTTCATCTATAAACTTGGGGTAACAGAGTTGTCAGATTTCAGTTTATATGGAGTATATGATGCCAAGAGAAAAGTAGTGCTGTCATGCAAAGATATCTGTACACCACAGGGTGAAAGATAGCTGTGTATGTGACTTTTCCTTAAAAATACTTCAATTATAGATTGATCATAAAAAATGAAGTTTGCTGTTTGGATGGGATGGTTTATGTGGTGTGAGGTCACTTTTGTTTGTTTGACAATATTGTTTCTGTACACCACAGGGTGAAAGATAGCTGTGTGTGTGACTTTTCCTTACAAATACTTCAATTATAGACTGATCATAAAAAATGAAGTTTGCTGTTTGGGTGGGATGGTTTGTGTGGTGTGGGATGTCACTTTTGTTTGTTTGACAATATTGTTCTCCTGGTTTATGTGCACATATGACTGAAGAAGCAGGGCACTATCTGAAGAATTCCAAGCTCAATCATCTTGACACTCATTCTGACCACTTTGGTTTCAAATTATAACCACCTACCAGCATTTAAGAGGCCATGCTTTCATTTTAAAGTTTGAAACAATGGATGTCTTCAGGTGACAGGGAAAAGTTCTAACTCCATAAAGATTCTTAGAGAAGTCCTCCCAGCTGAAACAAGGAGTCTGTGTTAAAATAAAATCATAGAAGGGGGAAAAAAATGGGTTATTTGGAGAGGTGGGTTTTCTGGCATCCTTTTTATATCATCAGGAAGTAAAAAATACTATTTAGGATTTGCCTTATGTAGGTCACTTTTAAAGATCCTGCTTTAGGTCAGTTCTGTGCCCTTTGCAGCTGTAAGGAGTTAGGTGACTTGCTTTAGAAGTGAATAACAAGCAAGAAACGTGAGAAGAGAACTGAGCTTTCCTGGACTGCATCTCCAGCTCTAGAAGAACAGTAAAAAAGTTCATCCAGTCAGCACTGGAAATAGTAGGATTCACCAGGTGTATTTTCTGCATCTTTCAGGCTACAGAGTGCCTGCTTGCTCCGAGTATGTTCTTCCTGAGGGTAGGTGGAGCTGATGTTTGGGACATGAGCAGTTGCTGGTCATGTCCCACACTCTAGTTGGGAATAAATGGCTTCCTTTCCTTCTCTGCTATCAGCCTCCTGTCTTGTATGTAGCTCTTCCATCAGGAAAATGGTATAACTGGCTTTGCAAGGTTCTTTAGCTAAGCACAGGTTGTTATGATGGCCTTAACCCTTGGGGACAGAAGGCAGCCTCCCTGGCTGGCTGCATTACAGTGCCACCTGCTAACAGGAGAAAAGAATCAGGAATCCTGAAAGGAAAATCAGAGAACAAAGCACACAAGAAATTCTGCTGCCCTTCCTCTTTCCCTGCAGCTGTGAAATCAGCCATCACACAGTTCTTCCCTCATGTTACATTTCCTTTAATGACACTGGTTTCCTACAAAACGTGTGGAAGCCTCTGCATCAAAAGGTTGTGTGTAACCAAATAGATTGCTGTTGTTCATGGCTTTAACATCTCAGGGGTACTGATCATATGACAGCAAACCTGCCCCAGCAATCTAATTATTTGAATGGCAAAAAACCATACAAGTGCTTTTTCTCTGAGTCTACTTTAAACCCCCCAAAGGAGAAGCATTGCCTCTCCTATCATAAACACTCACTTGCCATGTTTTGGTCTGAGAAAGCCCTGCATGCTGAAGTGACCTCTGCATTCCAGGTATGGGTATCACACTGAAGTGGATAAAGGGAACACAGCTTGGAGTGCCATAAAGGTGAACCATCCACAGTGCTGAAATTCCAGATATCAGCCAGGCTAAAGACTTTCTAGTGGGATAGAGACCTGTTGGAGAGGGTCCAGAAAAGGGCCATGAAGATGATCAAAGGGCTGGAGCAGCTCTGCTCTGGAGACAGGCTGAGAGAGTAGATTGTTCAGCTTGGAGAAGAAAAGGCTCTGGGGAGACCTTAGAGCACCTTCCAGTGCCTGAAGGGGCTCCAGGAAAACTGGGGAGGGGCTTTTCACCAGAGAGGGCAGTGACAGGACAAGGGGTGATGGTTTTAAACTGAGAGAGGGGAGATTGAGGTCAGACATCAAGAAGAAATTCTTCCCCATGAGGGCAGGAAGGCACTGGAACAGGTTTCCCAGGGAGGTTGTGGCTGCCCCCTCCCTGGAGGTGTTCAAGGCCAGGTTGGATGAGGCTTGTGCAGCCTGGTCTGGTGGGAGGTGTCCCTGCTCATGGCAGGGAGGTTGGAACCTGATGATCTTGAAGGTCCCTTCCAACCTTAACCATTCTATGATTCTATGATATGTTTAACCCACCCACTGGACCTGGCACTCTACTGTAGGTTTCCCTCACCTGCAACTTTAGGAGCTACTGTGGTCATTTCAGCTTGAAAAGTCTTGCCCTGTCCAGCAAGCTGAAGCATTGACAGGGCTGAGAGGAGAACTTTGACACCCTGGGAGAAGCTGCAGCATCAGCTGCTGATGACTTGGGCAGGGGAAGAAGAGAAGAGGAGCCAAGGACATCAGAGAGTAAAACTGACAGACTGATGGTGCAACAGAAGCCAATTGTTAAGCTCATGCTTTGACTTAAATTCATTGGAAGACTGTAGTATTTTCTGGAAGCATAGGGGGTAAACCATAAAAATATTCTCCAGAAGTTCACCGTGGCATTTCCTACTTCAAGGAAGAAATTCATCTTAGTCCTCTAAAACAACTTAAGAATCTTAAAAAAAAAAATAATGTATTTATGCTTTAAAAAAAAGGCACACCACAGAGGGGCCAAATCCTAGCCAGGGGTTGTACAGTGTCTTACTCTTGGCCATGTAGAGATACATTGAAATTGAGTCTGGGGAGAGAATTAGGGTGACATAATAGTGTTTTATATTAACATTATAGGTGTATTTATGGATCTGTATGTTTAAAACATAGTAAACGGATGTAATTCCTTAAAAACTCAATCAACATGCTGTGAAAGTTCTTTTTCCCTTCAAGGAGTTTAGTTTCAAATATTCCTTTCTCAAAATTCAGAATAATGCAGAAGTTGAAACTGTTAACTCAAATGAAGCCAACCACTATGGTTCAGTCCTCTCCACTCAATGAGATTTGCAAAGTAAACAAGGAAAGAATTTAATCATTTTAATTATTTGAGGAGGTCTTTGCAATTGAAAAATGTCATAATGTTGCAATTTATTGATCTGACTTTTAGTATTTACAAAAGGCTTGCTGTTAGATGTTTTAGAAGTGTGTAGTTCATCTTTTAATTAACTGATTAATAAATAATAATCTTGCCATCAGTTGATGAATTATCATCTTTTATCTGCACATAAAATACCTTTTTTAATTACCAGTGTTATCTTCTGTGTGTATGCAGAAAAGGAGGTTGTGTTACATCTTGGTGCTGCTAATTTACCCTGCTGCTCTGTGGGCAGTTTCAAAACATACTGAGGAAGCTGTCCTGGTTGCTGCTGTCAGTACAGACTGTTGTTTTCCTCCCCTGACACACAGCATTCTCCAGGAGTGCAACCAGCTGACCTTGAAGAAGTTGTCAAGAAGGGTGTCAAAACCATGGTGATTGGTCGTGGCATGAGTGAGGCTTTGCAGGTAGGTTTTTGTTCTGTGATAAACATAAACTAGAACTGTTTGTTTTCTTTCTTCCTCTGATTAGAGGGGGGGGAAAAAAATCCATTTAAACTGAAAGGTCAGACATCAGGAAGAAATTCCCCATGAGGGTAGGAAGGGACTGGAACAGGTTGCCCAAGGAGGATGTGGCTGCCCCCTCCCTGGAGGTGTTCAAGGGCAGGTTGGATGAGGCTTGTGCAGCCTGGTCTGGTGGAGGTGTCCCTGCTCATAGCAGGGGAGTTGGAACCTGATGGTCCCTTCCAACCTTCACCATTCCATGGTTCCATGATTTACTAAGAGGGGAGAAAATTCAGGATGCTGAATTCACATGACTGAACTCCTGCCAGGAGCCCCTCTCTTTCTGCAAGAAACATGATTTGAGCTCCTCTGTATTAGCATCCATATCAAACAGTAACCAGGTTTATGTTCTGCCATTAAATTTAAATATGGAGCATATTTTACAGTGTTATTATCATAGAATCACAGAATGGTGAAGGTTGGAAGGGATCTCAAGGACCATCAGGTTCCAACCCCCCTGCCATGGGCAGGGACACCTCCCACCAGCCCAGGCTGCACAAGCCTCATCCAACCTGCCCTTTGACACCTCCAGGGAGGGGGCTTCCACAACCTCCCTGAGCAACCTGTTCCACCACCTTCCTACCCTCATGGTCAAGAATTTCTTCCTGATTTCTAGCCTAAATCTCCCCCCTTTTAGTTTAAAAAGGGCAGGTTGGATGAGGCTTGTGCAGCCTGGTCTGGTGGAGGTGTCCCTGCTCATAGCAGGGGAGTTGGAACCTGATGGTCCCTTCCAACCTTCACCATTCCATGGTTCCATGATTTACTAAGAGGGGAGAAAATTCAGGATGCTGAATTCACATGACTGAACTCCTGCCAGGAGCCCCTCTCTTTCTGCAAGAAACATGATTTGAGCTCCTCTGTATTAGCATCCATATCAAACAGTAACCAGGTTTATGTTCTGCCATTAAATTTAAATATGGAGCATATTTTACAGTGTTATTATCATAGAATCACAGAATGGTGAAGGTTGGAAGGGACCTCAAAGACCATCAGGTTCCATCCTCCCCTCTCTCAGTTTAAAACCATCACCCCTTGTCCTATCACTGCCCTCTCTGGTGAAAAGCCCCTCCCACTTAGATTAGGTTATGAACCAGGTTTCCAGCCTGCTCTAAGTACTTTGATAATTAGGCATTTTTGTTACTGATGTTGGCAGGTGTCATTTCAGCAGAGTAACCAGCCACAGACACCTCAGGAGTGCTGAGCTTCACTTCATGAGAAGCAATTCTTTAGCTTTTTGGTGAGATGAGTGCTACCTTATTTAGATTAATTACCTTGAGCTCCGGTTCTGTTTATTTTTGTTTGAAAAGGCTTCATTTTAAAGGTGTTGAGGAGAAATGGGAGATGTGTATATAAAACCAGCTTTACTGCAGAGAAAAAAAATCAATCTTAGAAATATCTGAGTATATTTACTAACATAAGGCATCAGTACCTGTTTTTCTTTGAGTGTGAGGAGGAAAATACTCTAATACTTGCTCTTCCCATTTCCTTTTCTCTTCTGAGGTCCCACCATCTACTGTGGAGTATCTGAAGAAGAACGGGGTTGACGTGTTGGTCCTGCAGACGGAGAAGGCTGTGGCAGAGTACAATGCCCTGGCTGCTCAGGGTGTCAAAGTGGGGGGAGTTTTCCATTCAACCTGCTGAAGTGTTGCTGCTCAGAGTGCCCTCCCTGGCCTACACCTCCCTGCTGCATCAGGTTACAGCCCAGCATGGGCCTACAGGCCAGGGCTTTTGTGCCCTGCAATCCAAAATGCAAGGAGAGTTTATTAGTTCAGGATTTAAACAGAGTGCTCACAAAATCATTTCAATATAGAACTGTTTCCATACATCCTTGAGGTTGGCCTAGTTTTCCTCTGAAGACTGTCTGTGTTCTGGGTACTTTTAACCTGTTGGCTAAATTAAGATACTAGGTTGTGAGTCCTTTTATTAGGAGATGGCCTGAAGTTGCATGATTGGCTGTTGGAATGCAGCCATAAAATATTTGAGGAGTACAATCAAGCAGTGGTAAAGAAGGACTTCACCACCACTCTATAAAGAAGTTAAGAATAAAAGAAATGAATAAGCAAACCCAGAACATACAACTTTGCACTCCAGCTGGTGACTTCAGCCAAGATATTGGCTACACAGATCTGTGAGGATGCAAGAACATCACATGATTTAGCATTTTTAAAGTTTACAATGAACCTGGAGAGTGGAATAATACAAATAATCTACAGGGAATAAACAAAATTGAGGCCTTAAAGAATTTTCCTGTTGATTGTGAACTGTGAGGACTTGAGTTGTGCAATACAGATCTATTAAAAAAGTCTCTATATGCTTAAAAGTCATCAGATTTGTCACAAAAGTAGAGTTGGCAACACAAAATGTTAGGAAATCAGTCCAAATTTCTGCTGGCAAACTGGGGATGGATGTGGGAATTCTCACTGGTCATCATCCATTATCTGATGATATAAACCTTGTGCCAACAAGTGTATTTATTACACTGAAAACTGGAGAAGTGAGATAGTTGCTGTTCTTGGTGGGCTTCTGTTACTGGTACCAGTTTCAGTGAGCTACACCAGGCTCACTGGATCTGTGATCTGGTTCTGGATCTGTGCATGGTCAGTGTGTTAAGGAAAGTCCAGAGCTGGGCTGTGCAAGCCCTGGGGCACACAGAGCAATCCCAGAGGTAGCAGAGGGGCTTAGATTGCTCTGGGAAGGCAACAACTTTCCCAAGACCTACAAATAACCCTTCAGAAAATGCCACCTTCTTGTTCTGTTTATTTCCTGTGGTAATAATTGAAATATTTTAATCTGCTAAAATAGAGTGTGGTGTAAGAGCAAAGGGAAAGTGAACACTTGGAAATCTGAGCTTGCAATCTCCTCAGTGGAGCAATGTTTTCTATTAGTGTATCAATAATATTTGAGACAAGGTTTTACCTAAACCAGCAAGAACTGCCCCTCCTGCTGCAGCTGTGTGCTCTGACACAGCAGCCAGGATCGTGCTGCTCATAATTGCTGGGACATCATTCCAGTTCATTTGCATGGTGTGAAGCAGAAGGTGACCCACTGACCCTGGAAGGCTGTGTCATCCCACGGGAGCACCAGTAGAACCAATTCCTACCAATCCACGGAGCGTGGAGACTTTTTGCATTCAATGTTGTTACCCTGTAGCGGGGGGTGGTTGATTCTTTTGATCGCAGTCGTGTCTTGGCATTAGTTCCTGAGGTTTTGGAGCTGGAGGCAGCCTTGAGTAGGAAGGGGCTTCATAAGTCTTGTACTGAAAGGACAATCCTGGTTTCCTAAGTGCTGCAGTACGTGTTGGAAGGATCTGAGCAACCACCTTATCTTTCAGCTCCAGGTTTTTGGTTTATGTTGTTATATTTTCGTAATAATGATGAAACTGCATTGAACAAAACTGCTCAGCCCAGCTCCTGCACTGGAGACAAACACGGTGGGTTCCTTGCGCTGCTGCGTGTTTTCTCCTCCCAAAAAGAGCAGGAGAGGGGTGGAGCCAGTTTTGCCAGGTGACTTCCAGAGGTGGGTCCTACCGGGCTTTGTGCTGCAGCCTCTTAATTGTTCCTTTCGTTTGGCAGCCTGTAGGACACAGAAGGTTCCACTGACAGAACGGGGAGCTGCAGCCTGCAGAGAAACCGGTTTCCCTTTTGAAAGGTAAAGCACCAAGTTCTGCTACCCTCGCTACAACATTTTGGTGTCAACGAGGGGATAATCTGCTGCAAGTCTTTTCCATCCCTATTTGCTGTTCCTGCCCTGGTCACAGCTTCCTGAAGTCAGTTCCCACACAAGTGGCTGGTCCACTTGGGCTGCTCCAGTCACCAAAAGCCCAGATTTCCTCCTTGGTGCCTGAAATGACTTTGCTACATGGTGGGAACAGCTGGGACTGATTCATCAAAAAAAAAAAAATATTCACCCGGAGCTCAAAGCTTCATTAAATCGCTGCTTTCAGCCAGAGCCAGAAATAAATTGTTAAAATTATCAGGCTCATCACCCAAATCATGGGAGTGTACTTTTGCAGGGCAGGATTTCTCACCCCCACACACACACATTTCTCTGCCTCTCACCAGGAACTCGCTCTCCCGGTGGGCAGTGAGCCCCTCACCCCAGGCTCTGATAAAAGCAGAGCCAGGCTGGGCTGGTTGCCAGGAGGATTCCACCCAGCTGGGCTCATCCCCAGCCCTTATCTTTGTGGAGCAGCCCATGTGAGCTGGCAGCCAGGGGGAACAAGCCACAGAACAGCTCACAGACACACCAAAGCAACACGACCAGCCTTTCTCAGGGACACCAGGCAGCCTTTGTGCAAAGCCTCGTGGCTGGGAGCTTCCTGACTTGATTTTGAAGTCCCCGTTCACACTGTGTTGTTACGAAGATGAAAAGTAGAAAGGCAGCCAGCTCCCCAATTCTTGATGCTTGGTGGTAACAGACTGGAGAGAAATGAAATTAAAATGGTGATGGTATCACTGGCCTGGTCAGAAGAATTGAGGAATTATGAGGAAAGGCTGAGAGAGCTGCGTCTGTTGAGCCTGGAGAAGAGAGAAAGGATCTCTCCATTGCTTATAAATATGTAAAGGGGGTGTCAAAAGGATGGGGCTCTTCTCAGTGGTGTCCAGTGACAGGACAAGGGGAAATGGTCACAAATGGGAATATGGGAGGTTCAACCTAAACGTAAGGAAGAACTTCTTTACTGTGGGGTTACAGAGCACTGGAACAGGCTGCCCAGGGAGGGTGTGGAGTCTCCTTCTCTGGAGATACTCCAACCCCACCTGGACATGTTCCTGTGGGATCTGCTCTAGGAGATCCTGCTCCAGCAGGGGGTTGGACCAGATGATCTCCAGAGGTCCCTTCCAACCCCAACCATTCTGTGATCCTGTGTGTGAGAAGCCAAACAAGCAAGACAGGCATCCAGAGGTGACCCATCTCCATGAGCTGGAACCCAAGATGATGTCATACGGTCCCGTTTTAAATGCATGCCCAGTTCTTTCATCTTCCAAAGAACTTGCTTTGTATTTCTGCACTGAGTCCATCCACCCACTTCATTTTTCTGTCCATTTAAAACAAGATACATAAAAGCCACACCAGGTTTGAGTAGATATCTCATAAGCTTCAAATTTTGTGCCCAATACATTCATGCATTGTTTTAAGGGTTCTTGACTTAATAAATGCATCATTTATTAGCAAAGTTCTAAGAATTGGCCTCATGAATTTCAGTGGACCTGAACAAGCCGATTATGAATTTCCCATCAAAGCACTCAGAGCCAGGCTTCCCACACACACACAGATGCCACTTGTAATTAAAGCTAAAAAGTTAATGGCAATTAGGCCAACACATTTTCAAACCACTAATTACACCCTTTTTTTTCTGAGTGTTCAGTCTTTTCCTCTCCCTGCCAGATTCTTGACCCTCTTCCCTTATGCCCAACTCGGAGGTGAACCACACGGGGCAGCAGTGAGGGGTGTCTGAACATGGGTCTGTTGTAGCAAATTATTTGCCCTTGCTTCTTGCTCCACCTCCCTGTGGCTGCAGCTCTGCCCTGGCATCATGTTCCTCCACCTGCAAACAGCTGAGGGACCAGAATCTCCCCATAGTTGGGTGATGGTGATCTGAAGCCTCTGCTCCCTCTCCAACAGAAATCATAGAACACCAGGCTGGAAAAGGACCTCAGGGATCATCTGGTCCAACCTTTTTAGGCAATGAAAGATGCAAATTATCTTTGTCCATGAGTACAGCCCCTTTTTCTTTTCATTCTGAGATCAATCATCTTTTAGGTTGTTGCAGTGCAGGAGTCCAACACTCAGCCAAAATGAAAGGACAAGTGGTGAACAGCTAGAGATGCAAGCAGGAAAATGGGGCATTCAGCCCTGAACAGACCTTCCCTCAGCCCCTGGCTCTGCTCTGCCTACCAAAGCATCAGTCCTGCCCTGCAGAGTATCAGCACCACTTCATCACAAGTCTTTATTGGGATGACAAGCTGCAGAAATCCTGGTGAACAGTAAAACAGAGAGAGGAGGGAAAAAGTCTCTAACGAGGTACAAATCATGAAGTATCCACCTGGCCACAGCTTCATAAGAGAACTTACTGTGAGAGTGACAGAGCACTGGGACAGGCTGCCCAGAGAGGTTGTGGAGTCTCCCATGGGATCTACTGTAGGTGATCCTGCTCTAGCAGGAGGGTTGGACTAGATGATCTTCAGAGGTCCCTTCCAACCCTGATGACTCTACAACCACGTACATCCCTCAACTGAGGGTGCCCAAGAGAAGCCAGATGGTAACAACATGGCTGTTAGACATACAGGAGGTTTTCAAAGCTGTGCCCTCAAGGTGAAACACCAGGAAGCAGTTTAGAGCAGCAGCACTAAAAATGGATTTTTGATTCCAGAATACCTAGAGCAGCCTAACTGGCTTCCAGTTACGAGCCTTCAGATCACAACCTGTCAGTACTAAAAATATCACAAAACACTTGCAGGAATCTCTTCTTAGCCCAAGACCACGTGGGCACGTGTGTTCACTCATTTAATAAAGAGGAAACAGATTAGCATGAATTTTCCAATTTTATTCTAGGAAAGCACAGGGATTTTGTGTCAATATTTACACTGATCTCTGGACACTTTTGGTTTTACATTTGTTTTATGAACACTGGTAACATTTGG